GTGTGCGTGTGCGTGTGCGTGTGCGTGTGCGTGTGCGTGTGCGTGTGTGTGTGTGTGTGTGTGTGTATAGTGTATAATTTCGTTCATTAATATTGAAGTTGCATCAACCGATTTTATTTCAATTACACTGATGCTGTTGATACCGCATTATTTTTTTTTTTAGTGTACAAAAATAACATTTGATTATTGCGGACCGAACGGCACAACGCCGCACTATAGTCCACCGGAAGATGAATTGAAACAGTTGAGACCACGAAAAACTTACAAGCAATTGATCGTCGAGGCGATCAACTCGACGCAGGCTAAAGAAATGACCTTAAATGAAATAGCTTTGTCATTTGCCGTAAAAATGTGTTCACCAAATTATGCGTACCCTATTTTTTATTTATATTATAATTGATTCAGATTATATGACATTACTTCTTATAATGAGCATAATTTGAAAATTATTTGTATAAAATGAAATAAGCTTATAACTTAAAAAATAATTGACAGACTTTTTATCTCGAACAGTTGGCTGAACAATCACGATTAGAATTAGAAGCGAGTTCAACAAATTAGGATTCCGATTGGAAAAACTCCCAAGCTCCCCAAGCTTGACGACCAATTTCAAATTTAATTTCTCCTCCGAAAGATAGCCCAGTTTCTCCGCACGAGCCCCACTCGTGCGGAGGGTGCAGTTTGGAATATAAAAATTCCTGTGATTAGGTGGACTCGAACCCGGTTCCGGGATTACGAGTCTGGCGCTTTACCACAAGAACACACTGCCACCCCGAGTTCAACAAATTATCTTACTGCAGAAAATGAAGAACGATCTTAATGTAAGAAAAATTATTTTAATGTATAAGAACATTAATCTACTATAGTATATACGATTATATAGAGTTATGCGTTGATGAAATTTAATGACTATTTTAATCTGTTGTAAGAATAATAATAATTTGTCTTTATATTCTTGTAGTAGCACAACAGTAATCTTTCAAACATCGTCTGTTTTTTTTTGCTTAATCATTTTTGTATACATATAAATGTAGAATAATGACAATTTGGTATATAATTCTATTTCAATTGACAGCAATGTTGCGAATTTCGATGAAAAAGAAAGAGACAAAGCAGCAGACACTGATGACGAATAATTTATTACTTGACATATGTGACGCAACGCAAGAGAAGGATTATAAATATTATACGAATTCAATATATATATTGACTTGTTACAAGATAAATTGAGACATGGTAATCATTAATATTTCTTTACTATATACAGACACACAGAATTATAAAAATATTTATTTAATAAAAATTTAAAAAATGAAAACGGAAAAGGGCAAGTATATATTTTTTATATGTACTACCAAAAAAAAACTTATAATATGAACTAACGTTATACGAATTTTACACAAAATAAACGGGAAATTTTATGTAAAAATTCATATACCTAACGTTATCGAAAAAAAAAGAAAGTGGTAGTATTATATTAGGTGATTGCATAAGTTCGTGCCCGATTTTCATAGTTGGCATTAAGTATAAAAATCGGGCACGAACTTATGCAATCGTCTAATACCTCGAAAAAACCTAAGTAACAAGTGGTAGACGTAATTTTTGTGTCTCGAAAAATTTCGAAAAAATCTAAGCAGTAGTATCTTTATTTCCAAAAAATTATAACCCAAGTAATACACATCACAAAATTACGTTACCTTATCAAAAAAGAGTCGCGCTTCAAATGATCTATTACAATTACAAAAAAGAAATGATATCTCTTTAAATTACAGCGCCAATTACAGAGAACATATATATTGTCTCAAAAAATAATTGTTGCACTACTTTGAAAAATCTTTACATTGTGTCAATTAGAAAAAAAATGTATAATAACAATTTTATAAAATTAAAAAATTTTTTTTAAATTTAACAAGGCAGAATAATTTATTATAATCTGTACAAAGAAAGATGAACATTTTTAACTTGCTTATTGTTGGGGCAATTAGAATTTCCAAGGGTCGCAATGAATGTTAATGTATACCCTTTTAAGATTATTGCAAACAGTTTTTCTAAAGTCTATAAACCCGTATAGAAATTTCCCAAACATTCCCAAGTATAGCTAAGATTCTAATCAGATTACCCAAATAGGGTAAAATGTAGCGATACCAATTAAGAATTTCATTCTTATCCCAACTATAAAAGAACTTTAGGAAAACGTTGGGCAGAACGAATGGAATCTGTCTGGGTTTCCCATTAAAATCGCAACGTTATTTATTTGGTTAATCGGAATAGATCCCAATTAGATTCCAAAAAATTTTCTATATGAGTAAATAATTATTTATTTATTTGGTTAATCGGAATAGATCCAAATTAGATCCCATAAAATTTTCTATATAAGTAAATAATTGAAACAGCTTATTGATTATATATTTATGCTTTTTAAGAATTTATATTTTTAAAGTGTGCGTAAATTCTCAAAACTTTTCAGATATTTTGTTCAACATAAATATAAAATACTTTATATTTATAAATTCATATATATATAAATTCTTAGAAAGCTCAAGCTGTAAATGTTCAAGCTGTTTCAATTATTTTAGATTGTTTCAATCTCTTTTTGAAATAACCCCATATAGGAGTTGCCAGACCTTACAACAAAGACCAACGCTTGGCCGATGCTACGGCAGTCAATTGTCGGCCAAGGTATCAGCCAGTGCTGGGCCATAACTGGCAAATAACTGGCTGCCTATACCTATATAGAATAATCCGGCATTACAACAAAAACCAACGCTTGGCCGATGGTTGGCAGCCTTACGTCGCCCAACATTCTGTCAGACAGTGCTGGGCTATCACTGGCAAATGACTGGCTGTTTATATGTAGAATAACCAAGGTTAAAAAATGGCAAATAATAATGACTCAGTGATAATACATAATATAATATCAATACTAAATAAATCAAAAATATGTTTTATAACTGAAATAGTTTTCAATAATAAAATATTAAAAAATATTTTAATTAAAGCATAATTTCGTTAGATTCAAGGGTGAATTATAAAATCCTTCGCATACCGTAGCGAAGCACGGGTGTATCAAGCGTGTGATTATATATGGGTGTGATTATATATGTAGGTATGTATGTATGTATGTATGTAAGCAATTTTACAAGAAAAAAATGCTCGAATGTTCCGATTCGAGATGCAATTCACGGTGTTTTTCTTCCTTCACCTACACACACAAAGACGATCTGTTTATTCGTGTGTCAACTGTCATCACACGAATAGACAGAGCGTCTTTATTGCATAGGTGGACGTGGAGAAAAACTTCAAAAGAGATTAATTAGAGCACCTTAAAATATCGAGGAGTAAAATGTCATGTAAGTATTATATATTTTATCATTATATTCGATACGTTGGTTACTGTGAATATTACTGGTGATAGGCGCGCTTGATTTTTCAGTAACATCATATGAGAGTCATTAGTCTTGAGAGATTAGTGACTGGCGGCGCGTTATATATTCATCTCGCACCTTGCGAATTATTTTTCTTTCTTTTTAACTGAACGCGTTCCTATGAGCCTCATTCACAACGAGAAAATTACACCACATGCACGCCTAATTAATATAGTTTATATTAATTACATCACATATTTTATTATTATTATTATCTTCTTCCAGCTGAAGACACTGATAAAGACATGTTTGATAAAGATGAGAGTAGTGTTCCCCCATGCATTACTCTGCAGCGGCTGCAAGCGATGATGCAGCAATTGCTGCAGCAGCAAAAGGAGCAGCATCTGCAGCAGCAGCGAGACCAGCAATTGCTATTGTTGCAGGTGCAAAAAATACTGCAATTGTAGCGGCAGCAGAAGCCACATTAATAGTATTATCTCCTTTTTATCACATACACTAACACAATCATAAATACACATTCTGTTTATAATATTCCTTTATTTTTTTAGGACTCCGACGAGGAATGGCCGATTGTAAAACCCTATATGGGAAGTTATAAATGTCTCAAATAAAACAAAATATATACAGTATATTATCTAAAAAGACATGTAAAGTCGATAGTCGTATCTGTGAAAGTTTATTGTTGTCGGTACATCGTCCAATTAATTGTGTGAAAAAGTATTCCAAGTCTAATATCGTTAGGCGATCGACAAACTATCGAGAAATTTAATGTATAAGCGAACAGCTGAACAAATTGTGATTTAACAATAGCTTCAATCAATTTACTTTATTCCTCAGATAAATATAAGAAGGCTATGAAGCGATTGAATGATTTAAAAAATAAATTATTAGTTTTTACTAGTGATGCTGAAATTATCCCTGAGAAACGGAAAGAATATCAAATTCAATCTTTTAAAAAGAGGGCTTTAGAAGAAATACTGAATGTTCCAGAAATAAATAATGGTCATTAAACAATAGTATAAAATGTTAAATATTTTATAAGATTATATATGTACAAATACATCATAAAATAAATTATTAATATTATTTTAGGTAATAACTCTTCAAATGACAGTAATAAGTCATCAAGTAGCGAGGAAATCAACAATAGTCAAATTTCTAAGCAACAGAAAAAGAAAACTAAAATTGGTCACAATAAAAATGTATGTACAAAAGAAACATTGAAAAGCTGTAATAATAAAACTAATGAAAGTTTAGACGGCATAAATAATGATGAAGGTAATATATTTATATAATAAGATAAATAAAGTACAACTAAATTTTTGTTCTTTCTACATTATTTTTTTCTATTTTTACTTTACATATAGCAATGCAGTAAAAATTATGTTTACAGAATGTATCGAGTTACAAGAAAATAATGCTACTAATGCTACTAATGCTACTGATGCTACTAATGTCGAACCTGTGCCAACAAATCATTCTACAGAAAATACGGAAACTTATTCCAATAGAAGTATTAATTTAAATGAATCAGCTAGTGGAGAAAATCGTCTTATTCTCCTAAAACTTTACATTGCGACTCTCGGAAACTTTTTATTTTTTGTTCTTTTGACGCACATTACATGTAAGTTTTTACGATTTACCACTAATATGTCTTCCATTTTTATATTCGACATACTTATATGGACATATTCGTTCTAGCGTGGCGCTCGCACAATGCGGTTTGGACGCAGCATTTGGCGACGCATGATCCATTGTTGCGTGACCTATGTATTGTTTCTCACTTGAAAAGGACCTAATTAAGGTCGAAACGTAGTGAGTTAATTAAATAAATTGATACTGGCCAGTTGGGTTGCTTAATCTCACATTTATTTTTAACTACACACTGGCGGATCTCACAATTTATCCAATTGTTTAAATGAATCAGTTAACACAACTAACGGCAAGTCATTAGAAAATACTTATATCAGCAATTTATTAAAATGTGATTGTTACATACTTCAAAATTTGATATAATTTATGAATTTATTTAATTATAAATTAAGAAAAACGCCGTTAAATGGTTAGGACTGGATCTTGGTTGCCTAATAATATTATTGATGTAAATTTTACGTGCAATTCTTTGCCTTGGTAAAGACTACGCGCCGTTATTTTCGGACTGAATCGCAGTTTCAACCAAAGTTCGAACACAACATAATCACATAATTAAATTGATAATCAATTTAATCACACTAACACATCTTTTTAAGAAATTAAAAATATTAAATTAATAATATATATATTTTTACATAATATTAAAACTTCTAGATATGAAACTTTTATTCAAAACTATATTAAAATAAATAGAAAAATTATGTTACAAATGAGGACAGATATTGAAGATCTTCGCTACGATATTCGACAATTACACAATAATAATAACATACATATTTTTAATCCGGTCAAAGAATTTGGTATCGAAATGCCCATAGAATCAATGCATGACTTCTTGAAATTTGATGAAAATTTAAATAACCGAGAAACCTCTGGAAAATTCGTACGTTTTAAAAATATAAATTATTTGTAGCAATGGGTTCTGTTCATATAAAAAAAAATTGATTTTTTTCATTTAATAGATTACATTTATAAAAAATTGCTTGGATCGATCCACAAATAATCCTACAAAAAGTATCCATACGATATTAAGAAAAATATTCAAGAAAAATTTAGCGACACAATTTACAGCTGTGAAGAAATCTGGAGAGAGAAAAATTTTTAAATTAACTAACATATACAAAAAAATGAAAGATATATTTAATAGTGCATTGTGATTGCTATAATATAAAAATAACAAATATTTTCATTTCTTGTATTATACTTTTTAGATATTATAATAAACACACATATTGACGTTCAGGGTGAACCGATAAGTGAGAAGATTTTCCACACAGCATTAGGAGCAGGCTTTTCAAATGCCAGAGATTGGGACGGTCATCGATCCAAAAATTAATGTTACTTATATATTCCTTATAAAATTTCCTTATAATGTTTCCTTATAAATTTTTTTATAAATGTAAATAATTACAGTTTCATGTTAAAAGCAAAAATATAATGTACTGTTTTATTTGAGACATTTATAATTTATTTCAAAAAGGGGTTGTGTAAAATAATTGAAACAGTTTAAGCATTTTATCTTTTTAAGATTTTAAGAATTTATTATATATATGAATTTATAAATATAAAGTATATTTTATATATTTATGTTAAACAAAATATTTGAAAAGCTTTGAGTATTTACGTACACTTGATAAATATAACATCTTAAAAAATGTAAGTGCTCAAGCTGTTTCAATTATTTAGAAATCTAAAAAAAAAGAAAACTTTAAGCAAACGTTGGACAAAGAAAATGGAATCTGTCTGGGTTTCCTATTTAGAATCGCACCTTGGGCAAACGTTGGGTAGAAAAAGTGGAATCTGTTTGGGGGTCTCCACGTAGAATCGTACGGGGGGTCTCCACGTAGAATCATACTTTTGAAACATTACACTTCTAATCCGAATCTTCATAGATTACTCAATCAGAATCCATCATTTTTTAGGAAAATCGGGATAGATTCCAATCAGATCCCAGAAAATTTTCTATGCGGGGATATCTTTGTTTCTGTTATTTATTTCACTGCATCTTGCTTTATATTATTTATATGTTCATAGAATTACTCGAATACACAAAAAAAATAAGATAACTTTTTAAAAGCTCTTATTTAACAAGAGCTTTTACTTGCTTTTTCTTTATCGCAGAAACGTGAATATGTACATAAAATACATACATATACATATATCTGTTATACTTGCGTTCTACGTTCTACCTATGTTGAACGCCTTGCTCCTACTATTGAACGTAAATGTGTGTAACCTAACCTAACATAATTGAAATTCAAAACTCTCCTAAACTTAAACATTTATTTAAATATAGCTTCTAATTATCACAAAATATTTGGCGATAAATGTGGAGATAGCATATTTAAAAGTTTGAAACGTTGCCTTATCTTCCTTATAACTTAACTGTACGCAAGTCTGATTGTTGACTTATAAAAGCATTGCATACGGCCGAGCATTTCTTCTTGTTTACAATCTTTTTGATATTTAATCTTCTCAAGGCAATATCGATAATAATGGACAACGTAGAAAATAAAACGGCGATAGTCACAGGAGCCGGGTCCGGCATTGGCTACCACATTACCGAAGATTTGTTGCGTAAAGGCGTGAAGGTATTTTACAACTAAAAATTAAAATATGGAGAAAAACGGTATATTATCTCTCTACGTTATTATAATAATTCTAGAAAGTCGCCATCCTCGATTTGCCGGTAGCACGAAGTTACAACGCAACAGTAACATTGCAAGAAAAATTTGGAAAAGAACGTGTCAGCTTCTTTCCAACTGATGTAACAAACTTGGCAGTGTACAACGGTAAGTGGTCAAATCTGGTCGAATCTCTTAAATAATTCTTATGAAACTATTTATCAGCGATAATCACGGAACTTATTTTACATTTTTAAACACGAAATATCCATTGAATTAAAGCATTAAATACTAACCAATTATTTTAATCCTTAGAAACATTCAAGCAAGTTATTAAGGCTTTCAATGGTCTTGACATACTTGTTAACAATGCTGGGATATGTAATGACAGTTGTATCGAGCAAACGTTTGCTATTAATGTCGTGAGTAATAAAACATTAAATTTCAACCGATTAATTGAATAATTATTTACTAATTTTATTAAGATTTGTTTCTTATGAACATTATATATATACAATATATATAATCGAAAATATAGATTATCATTAAATAAGAATTTTGGAACAATATACTTCATAAGGTAATTTAATTATTATTTGTCTATATTATGAGATGTTCCTTTAAATATATGTATATCCTTTATAACTTTAACAAAATTAAAATATCTTCGAAACGATGTTTTCTTTTATTTGTATGCATGATTTTTCATGCTTTCTTTTGGAAGAGTTAAAAGAAAATATAGACTGATTTAATTATTATAAATAAATACATTAGCATGTACTATATACATATATTGTTCGTATTTATATAAACATGACATATATGTACAATTTTGTTAATCACAAATATATGTATACATTAAGTAAATTACTACACATTTTATTTCTATAGGTAGCGGTAATTCGCGGTTCGCTATTGGCCTTAGATTACATAGGCAAACATAAAGGTGGCAAAGGGGGTACCATAGTAAATATAGCGTCTATGGCTGGATTGGGTCCTTTCTATGCATGTCCGGTGTACTGTTCTTCTAAACATGCTGTCGTCGGATTTGGCTCCAGTCTTGAGGTAATTTATATTTATACAACATGAATCCTCACTGTTGCAATATTACTAATAAATAGACTTTTACAATGACTATATTTTCTTTTAACTCTTCCAAAAAGAGGCATGAAAAATCATGCATACAAATAATAATAGAAAACATCGTAAAAAAGTTTCGAATTCTAATTTTGTTAAAGCCATAAAAAATATTTAAAAGAACATCTTATAATACAGACATATATATATTTATATACGATCGTTGTGTTCTTTCTTTCAGTTTTATAATTATAATCTTTATATATACTACTAAAATACTTTATCATGAAAATAATACATGCTCTCTGTCGTAATAAAAATTCTTATTAAAGTAATATCATTTTTTAGAGATCTTACGTCAAAACAGGAGTTCGCATTCTAACAATGTGTCCTGGTTTCACAGAAACGGCAATGCTAGCTCATGATATAAGCAAAAATCTCGACTTTATCGACAAAGATTTTATTAAATTCTTAGAGAATACGGATGAGATACAAAAAAATATTTATAACCCTCAATCGTAAGTATACAAAACACGTAATATAATTGTAGCGGTCATATATGATATATATTAGCAGAATAACCACGTTTGCTACTAATTTACAATTATAATTATAATTATAATTATAGGATAAGAATTATTACCTTTGACAGACAGAATTGTAGTATCATGCACTTCTTGATTATTTTATTATTAATATTGTCTTTAATACTGAAAACATGCACATGTGAAGAATATCCTATATAAGAGAAAGATATAAAAATGTTTAACATTATCATTATTATATTATTATAACATAGTAATAAGAAATTGTATCAAAATTCTTTCGGGAACATAACGCATTTGTTGCAGTGCTGTGCATGTTGCACAATCTACAGTCATGGCGATTCAAAAGGGTAAAAACGGATCGATTTGGGTTATTGATCGTAATGAGCCAGCATATCCAATCAAATTACGGCCGTATAATGCCGCTTAGACGTAAAATTCTTCAAACACATCGGAAACGAACAACTCGAATCACATGTGCGAAAGATAGAAGAAACACCTGTAGTTGAATCACGAAATAATGTGCCTGCTACATCAATATATAACAATACTATAAAATAAATAAATAAATAATTATAATAAAGGATATCTTGCAGAATTTCTGTTTCGCCGTAAATATAACTTTGACACTCGGATTATCGCATTGTTGGGGATTCCCCCAATTTATTAATATAAAAATTGTATCCGTCCGTTATATGTACTACGATATATTTTTCTTCTGCTTCTCACGCAAAATTATCGATATGTTCGAAACCGCCGGAAGGAGCCGATCCGCGCCGAAGGCGTGCGCACGTCAGCATCCCCACGCGGCTCGCCCGACCGCCGGCCTCCCTTCCAACGAACCTGCCGCGCCGGGGTATTTAAGTCGGCGCTCCGACACCGACAGGAGCCGGCGCGGCACTTGGAATGGCTGCGGTGGGGCATACTCTAGTTCGCTGCGTGTCGTCTGATATTTGAGTTGGTGCTCGTTTCAAGACTCTCCTGTACGGGTGGTGCCTTCCCCGACCTCTGTGGCTCTTGGCCTCTGCATCGTCGTGGAGGAGAATTTGGATTCCCCGCCTGGACACCCCTCCAACTCGGAGGGTAGGCTGAATACGAAATCTTCGCTCAAGCGAAAGGTACTCGACACTGAGGCGCTGACTGCATCCTCAGGAACTGACAAGCTTCCTCGCATTGAGGATACTGACACCAATAATCTAGGTAAATTTGTTACCTTTAATCGCTTTCAATTTTTGGCTGATGCGGTTGATTTGAATGACGAGGCCGGGGAGTCCTGCTCGGGACTGCATGTTTCCGACCCCGAAAGTAATCGTGTGCAGGCTCATCAAGCCAGCGATGAGACGAATCAGACTCATATTATTCCGAAAGCAACTAGGAAGCCTCCTCCTATTTATCTTGCTTCGAAGATAACGAATTACACCGCTTTTATTGATTCACTAAAGATGGATGTCGGAGAGAATTTCCATGTAAAATTCCTTGGAAATCAAGTAAAAATCCAGTTTCTCAAAATTGACGACTTCACGGCTTTTAAGAAATTCGCAATCGCAAGTAAATACTCCTTTCACACTTACTCTCTGCCGGAGGAGAAAACGACCACGGTCACCTTAAAGGGTCTGCCTAACATCCCTAACCTCACGATCACAAACGAATTAAAGAAACTCGGAATAGAAATCAACTCATGTACGATGTTGAATGACGAGAATAGCCTGTATGCTACTTACAAAATTAACCTGAGTTCTAAATTTTCTCTGACTCAATTGCGGAAAATCAGATTCCTTTTTTACTCAAAGATCTACTGGGATAAATACATTAATAGAAAAATCGTACTACAATGCTACCGATGTCAGGCCTTTGGCCACACCTCTACGAATTGCTTTAAAAGGCCTCGTTGTGTTAAGGCTCCTGGTCCCTGAGCCGAGAACTCTGCGTTGACGGTGGCGCCGCCACTCTCTTCTCTCACTCTCTCCAATGGAGAATTCTGTCTTGTGACATGTTGAAAACCTATTTTGTTGTGCGTGCTATTTCTTTATTATTTGCTCTGTGCTTGTGCTCTAACGTTTAACGTATTCGTGAAAGTCGTAAAATTGGCCGAAAAATAAGATTTGCATGCGGAAAGAACGTTTTCACCTCCTTTCGATAGTCGTTAAACAGCTGTTTTTCCCGTATGTTTAGGCTTCGTTTTATGGCTGTTTGTTTATTGTCGAGGGAAAAGGGTAGTTTTCGGCCAATTTTGGAAGTGCTCTGAAACGATCTATAGTGATGTTTTATTAAAATGTCTTTTTATTTGAAAATGGCATGCACAACAAAATTGGGTGTTTTCCTCGCCTCGATAGTAAGAATCCAATATGGCCGCGGTGACTACCCAAGAGCCTTAAGGTTGTATGACCCGTAAGATCTCTGCCAAAAGTTTAAGAAACGTAACATAAAGCTAATTAGCATATTTAAGAAGATATTCTTTACTGGAAAGTAATATTTATGTTAATATTTTATTAAAATAACGGTTGCCTGTGTTTTTAAGAGCTATAGAGACATTTTTATGCATATTTTCTCGTATGTAAACTTTCACCTTTAATGATTTTTAGAAAGACTGTACCTGACTTGCAACTGACACAAACGAAAATCTGAAAGTGTGAAAATCTTTAAAAAGTAACAAAACATAGTAATTACTGTTTAAAAATACTAATGAAATTATATTATGTCATTTATTTACGTCATTTATTAATAAATTAAATACAATAGCTCTCATAAAAAAGTATTTTGATCGCGACAACGTCGCATTTTCTGTAAGTTGGTAGCATTGATCTCACTCGACATCAGCTGCGTGAACGCAAAGTGTGCTCCGAGCACGTGTAATATACAGACGCATCGTTTGAGGTTAGTTTTCGCTTGCGCTACAAAAATGCCAAAAGTAAAACGTTACATGTGCCATGAAATTGTTACAATCATCTGGTGTGGTTTCGACTCGTGTTTTCAAATTACGTTTCCCAGTATTATCTGTGCTAACCGTTGATTGTACACTTTTTCAGTGACAACTTTTCCTTTCCACATGTAACGTTTTACTTTCGGCATTTTCGTAGCGCAAGCGAAAACTAACCTCAAACGATGCGTCTGTATATTACACGTGCTCGGAGCACATTTTCGATACACAGGAGGCTCTATTAGAAAAAGTAACGGACCTCTGTAGTATTTGTTATCCTTTACGGAAAGTGACGGAGAGAGAGGTTCTAATGTGACGTCATAGTGCGCTGTTGCCGGATCTCTGTACTTACGAGTTCAGCGAGACCAAGCGAGACTGTTCACTGTTTGCTTTTTATTCAATATTTCAGAAAATATCCTCGAAATCATAATTTTTTGGGTTCTAATTTGTTTGTAAGATGTTTATTAATATTTCTGCAAAGTTTTAAAAGGATGCCATATTTTCTTCGATATTAATTTCTCAAATAAAGTTGAAAAAATAGTGAAATTTGATGAATTCCCGTAAGAGCCCATGTTAAATTCAAATTGTTATAACTTTTGAACGGGCCTCGCAAACTTGTTCAAACTTGGCACAATGCTTTATTATTATAATACTCATCACCTGACAAAGTTTGAAGAATTTGGCATTTTTTCTTCTAAGGGGTCATACAACCTTAAATGTGCCGAAAATCACATAACCTCAAGCTGTAAGAAGGATTCGGACTCACCGGCCAAGTGCGCGAATTGCTCCGGGGATCATCCGGCTAGCTACTCTCAATGCCCGTCATATTTGAAGTTCCTCGAGAAGCGAACGGCCTTGAATCGACCCTCTGATCTGGCAAACAACCCGCATGTTAACAATAAAAACTTGCACGCTCTTTTCCCCTCCTTAAATATAACGGCTCCTTTGCTTTCAAATGTCTCGACTGCCCCTAAGATAAATAAACCTACTCAATATTTACCTCCGAAAACATACCTTGAGGCTTTGAATAATAATGCACGCCCTGATGCGTCGGAGGACGTGGCCAATTTTAATGGCCTTGTTTCTGAGATTAAGAAACTTAGCCAATTAGTGAACATTACTACATGCTCTCAGTTATCAGAGATCTAAACAAAAAGTTGGCCTCCTGCTCTGATGGCCTTAGCAGATTACAGGCGTTTGTTGAGGCGGCAGAGAGCCTTTGAAATGCCTCCGCTCACAGAGCCTCTTAAGATTTGCTTGTGGAATGCCACAAGCATAAATAATAAAAACGCGGAATTCCACCATTCTCTTCTCTCCAACAATGTCGATGTTGCTATGGTCACGGAAACTTGGCTGCATCCTAGTACCAAATTAAATTTCTCGGGTTATAAAATTGTGCGCTTAGATTTCCCGCGTGTTAAGGGTGGGGGCTTGGCCATTATCGTCAGCGACTCGTTGCGCTTTCATACGCTGCCTGTTCCGGTTCTGAATGGTTGTGAGCTGCTGCTGATCAGGTTGTTGTCCGGTCTAAATCTCACTCTGGGTGTAACGTACATCTCTCCCAGCGTTAGATTTGATGTTAATCTTCTCACAGATGTTTTTAAAGATCACCATCAACTATTGCTTGGTGGTGATTTTAATGCCAAGCATCGTTCATGGAATAATTTTACGAACAACAGTAGAGGCATTCATCTGCTTAACTTTATTAATAATAACAACTTTAATTTGATTCACAATTCAACCTATTCCCATAAAGCCCCATGTAAATATCCTTCAAACATTGATTTTTTCATAGCTAAAAATGTTAACAATAACTATTCCTGTCTCACTTTAAATGACTTATCCTCCAATCACTTCCCTATCATGCTGGCTCTTGATAACTCCTCCATCGAGAGAAAATCTCTTAAATCTTATAAAGTTAACTGGAAAAAATTTAAATCTTCTACTATGGAATGGAAAATAACTCATAATTTATCTAACGAATCTGAAATTAATCTTTGTATAAATAATTTACAACAGTTTCTTTGTCGCACTTCTAGGCAATCTTCTAAATTATTAGACTATAATTTAAATTATATCACTGATGATCCTACAGTGGCTGCGGATCTTAATAAACTTATTAAGCTTCGTAATTACTATCGTCATAAATTTCAACGTTTTGGTCTAGAAAAGTTTAAGCGATATCGCAATGTTCTCACATCCATTATTCACAATATGGTACGGGACGTTAAAAACAAGAAGTGGTCTGAACGATTATCGAGAGCCAAAATTAGTGATAATAGTATATGGAGTTTAACCAAATCTCTCCAAAGAAATAAAACTCCTGCGCCTCCCTTTTCCTTGGATAACGGCGCGTTTGCTTACGACCCCGGTGAAAAAGCTCAGCTCTTGGCTCAAAACTTTTATAAAGTTTATCAGGACGCTGACGGACTCACTTCCCCTCATGAAGCTGTGGTTAACGAATTCGTCAATAGTTTGGATGATTCCTCTCCTAACTGTAATCTTGAGTTTATTACTCCCCGTTTAATATACGATATTATTAAAACTTTCCCTAACAATAAAGCTCCCGGTTCTGACAAAGTCACCACCTCTATGCTTAAGAACTCATCCTTTAAAATTATCCTGCAAATTTATTACATAATTTTATCTTCTTTTCGCTTGTGTTACTTTC